GAGGCATGTGTCCTGCTATACCTCAAACAGATATTTAGCTCAATAGTTAAAGCAACAAGATTGACAGTCAATGAGTATCTCAATAGATATAGGAAAGAATGAATTGGAAAACTGCAATGAGTACATTTCAGGGCAATAACAAGTGGTGAAATCCCTATTCCTCCATTTAGCCTCTGTGTGATTTAGGACACACATATTTACCACGACACTATAAAAGGACAGTTAACACTGGTGTCAGTGAGAAGACCAAGTATGATAGCCCAGCCAGCAAACAACCCAGGGCACTCCTGCCAGGGAACTGCTTTCTTTCTTTTTTAAGATTTATTAGGGTACAGGCCAGAGGTGTGGGGGTGAGAGGGGTTCACCACAGACAGAATGGGGAGCAGAACAGGCTGACTGACTGAAACACACTGCTGAGGGGAGCAGCAGGCAGGTCAGGAGAGGTCTGCTGCACCATGTGGGTCAGCCCCTTGGCCAGGGATTGAACTGGTGCAGTGGCTGTGGAGAGCTTCATAGTGCTGTGCTTTAACCCCTTGCACCATCAGGGAGGGCCAGGGAACTGCTTTCTATCCCCAGAAGTTGCAATAAGCAATGGAAACTGGGGTGATGGGGAAGAAAGCAGAGAATGGCAAATGAAGTAAGGGAGACGAGGGTGCGTCAGAGGTTGCTTTAGTCCGGGGTTCTCTAGACAGCAGAGGGTATGGTTACACACGTGCCTGCAGACTTAGGAAGACTTGTCTTTGGCAGGGACCAGGAAAACAGGAGGACTGCATGTTGCTCCTACGCTGTGACCTTGGGCCTCCTCTTTAATGCAGGGACTGGAGGGCTCACTTCCAAGTTCTCTTTGGTCCCTCCTGCTGCATCACCCTGCAACCTCTCCATGTACAAAAGGCCAAGCGGCCTTCAGTTGGCAAACACCACATGCCACGTTAAGATGAAGTCAGACTATTGCAAACTGGGGCTGACTTGAATTCCAAGACCTAAAATTAAGTCATTAGCTGATGGGCTTTAAGGGAGCCTCTCAAGGAATATGCTGAGTACTGCTTTCCAAGGAGTTTCCATTGTAAAAGCACCCTAGGGATCTCCTTAACAACTCCCCTCCCTCACCCCCTCCCCCTGCCAAAAACTACAAAAGGTTGTGTTTTTTGTTTTTGTTTTTTTTTTTAACACTAGACTTCAGCAAATAGCCAAATAAGATAAATGTAACACCTTTGTGAAACTTCATACTTTTCTGTAGTCCTGCTTAGAAACCAGAGTAGGGGCAGACGGAGTGTCTTCATACAAAGCACGTTTTCTAAGCATTGCTAGGAAATGGGTGGATACAGTAGGAACAGAGGAAATTTAAGGTTTGGGGGAGGTGCATCTTGCTGGATCTGGCAGACAATAGGCATTTACTAACTCCCTACCTCTCCTTTCCCAAGTAGCTTTACAGGCCTGACTCATTCTTAAAAAATAACCAAATTCTGGAGGAAAAACTTTAGAACAGTCAAAACTTACCAACTGATCACTCGGTGTTGAAAAAATGATCACTTATATGTATTCCTATCTAATTATCGCAGTAATTCTGACTCTTAAAAAAAAAACTCTCTCCCACCCAAAAAAAAGAGGGGGAGGCGGGGGAGGGAATGTTGTGTCTGCAACAGGAATAAAAACAAGAAAGTGAAATCCCGCAGGATTCTAAGTCATTTTGTGCTTCTGAGAAGGCTAAGCATGTCATCGTGAAAGGTGATAAACTTTGAAGTTGTAGGCAGACTACAGGATGCAGCGTTGAGAACAGAACCACACATTTCACAAAAGAACACCATGGTTTAATTGCTCTGGGTTTACAAACATTTCGCAATTTACCATTACTATTTCCACAGTAAGTGCCAGAATTTTAGTTTGCATGATGATGAAATTGCCCAAGTAGGAGCTTCAGCATGAGCAGAATTTATTAATGTCTTCATAAATGCACCCCATTATAAAAGGCACACGAATCTTTACAGAGGAGTGTTTTGATGTGGCTCCTGCATTTAAAAAGTACATACTTTTTTCTTTTTTCATTCAATAAAACCATGTTCTCAGAGCCCAATAAACCCCAGGCACTGGAGACAAAAAAAAAATGAGTAAAACACTAACCCTGCCCTCTAGGCACTAGACAGCTTTTTTGTAAGTTCACTTTCTTAATTTTATATCTACATATTCACATATTAGCATTTATTTATTCTAGCATGGCTCAAACATTTGCCTGCCACAAATTATACTATTATTTCTTCTCTAAATAAGCATTTTGTTAACAATCTAAAAGCAACTAGTTGGTGTTGAACCATGCTAAGACTGAATTAATTTAAATGCAAATGTGCCCTAATAGACTCAACAACCATTCCCTATTTACGGAGATCTATGCCTCGGTGGCTCCACCCTCCCCGGGATTAGAACCAACAAACTCTCCAGGGGATGGGTACCCCCTTGCCTCTCACTGTGCTCCCCATTCTGTGCAGCCTTGGAAAACCTGTTAGTTCACCTAAACGGTTTTACGCTCACACTTTGAGGTTTGATGTTTACACTCAAAGAAAGAATCTGGAAAATAAAACCAGCCCTTCCTTCCTGAACTCTGTTAAGAATGTTTGGATGTGTAATTCCCCACTGCATCTACTCCCCTCAAAAGCTCAGTACTTGAAAAAAAAAAAAAAATCTTCCAAACAGCATTTTGCCCAAATACCGGACATAACTGAATTTCTACTATGTTGATCTGGGACGTCTAACCCTGCAGTTTCTTGGCACCGAGCTGATCACTGGTCAGGAATGACAACAGGGTGCAGTCTGACATCACCACCAAGGTATAGGTGCCATCTATACCTAGTTGAGCCACCTCAGAGGCTGACATGAATGCAAACTTCCTTGTTTTAAATATAATCTGAAGGAAACTTTAAATACAATCTGAAGGAAACAGAGTGTTTTATTGCAGAACAGAGAGGTAACAATCCATTTTGTGTCTTGTCCTATTTCCCTACAGATGCAATTTCTCGTAGACACTGGAGGGCAGTTTTCTAACAGCAGAATGAAGACTCTTCCTTCTATCCTGGGGACTGGCTACAGGAGGCCTACAGAGGAGAGGTAACTCATGTCTTCACCTATATTTCAGAGGAACAATCTTGAGGTCCAAGTTTAGCCCAAAGGAAAATTTAGACAGTCTAAGGTGGAGAACACGCACCCACATAAGGTGTTTGGGACAAACTTGATGTTCTTTCCCATCTTCATGGTGGTTTTGTAAGTACACATTTTCCTTGCTCTTGAATCTGCCCTTTGAGTAACAGGTTTGAGCTTCCCCAGCCCCACCCCAGCTTCTGACTCAGCTACAACTGACCCAATATGGCTGGAATCTGCCAGGAAGGGGAAAGCAAATCTCCAAAAGGACCTCCTGACATTCCTCCTCTTTTATCCCCTCACTTCCCTTTAAGTGAGCCCCTGCAAAGTTCTAGTAAGAGATGCAATGTGATGTTCACAAGCCAGTTCTCTCAGTGACTGAAAACTTACAGAGCAGATCTAAGCAAAAAAATAACAAGATGAACTTCCTGCATGAAACAGTCATTGGGTTTCTGGAATTTTACTGAAGGAACATATTCCTGAATAATGGTCAGAAAATGCAAAGATGGGGGAGGTCTTAAGTAGATATTTAGTACTTATATTAATATATACATATATTAATACTCCTTTTTTATACACACACACACACACATATTTAAAATCCTGGCGACGTACTGAAATATTTGCCAACCTTCCCTGGCTTCTCTGGATGGGAATAATCATAAATAATGATGGAAACCAGAAAACTGGAAAACTGAAAATGCAACTGGATGTCTGGAAAGATGAGACTAACAATTTCCAGGAGAGTTATCATTTATTGAGCACCTACTATACACCAGACAGTATAATGAGTGCTGCATATACATCAACTTAGCTAAATCTCAGAAAACCTAAAAAGTAAGTCTTCTTTGCCGCTCCTGGACATCATAGGAGCTGAACACCTTGGCCAAGTTCTGGAAGCCAGTGAAGGGGGTTCTGGCACCTGTTCCAGGTGAATTCACTCCAAAGCCCGGCAGATTAATTGGAGTGTTCATCATTCCCAACTAGTTTCTTTCTATGAACTGCACCTTCCATGAGGAGAATGAAAGGTCCCAGAGTTAACCTAGAGCCCTAACCAATGACCTCAGCATCTGCCAATTTCAAATCTTCAGATTAAAACTGACATTTTTTTGTGGATTATGATGTCTAACTGTCATCCCCCGGAGCCCTGATTCCAGTCTACCTGCCAACCTAGGGCTCCGCCACCGCAAATCTATGAATGCCCCCAAGCACTAAATCCTGAGTAAATTAAAGCCTCACCCTCTACACCTAAAAACTCTTTTTCGGAAATTATGCCAAGTCCATGGGCGGCTTTACAACGTTACTGGGCGCTTCAAACTACATGACAATACAGATTTCACAAAATAAGTCCTATTGTTTTTCGCCCCGAAGTATAACAACAAATACTCTGTGAATCTACAAATTGAAGAAGTGCAAGCAAACAGACTGAGTAAACTGTGGGGCGGCGCTGGCCAAGGAAATAGTTGTTTTTCTCTCGCGGTCAGACAACAAATGAAGAGCTAAACATCCAGAACGTCAGCCCCTTCCCAAATCCAACTGTGAGCGTACTTGAGCCAAATACTACTTATTTACATCAGTTGTTTGAAGGCCTCTTTCCAGCTTTTTCCACCCCAACTCCTCAGCAGGTGTCCCAGATTCAACTGTTGAATATCCCACCCGACTGTTGAAAAAATATCTTTGAAGTGCTCCGGGGCGGGTTATTTTTTAATTAGGGACTGAAATCCTATACGGTGTGCGCTTAACCCACTGAGAACCACAGCCAGAGCAGGACCACTCCGGCGTGCGGGCTAGCCAAAGCGGCGCGCGCTCGGGAAGCCCGGGTGGCCCGGGGGCGACCCGCCCTGCCCGCGCCCGCCCCGCGCCAGGTAACTCACCAGGATGCCCATCACGTCGGTCCAGAGCCGGGAGAACGCCTCCGGCAGGCCCGCGCCCACCTCGCGCTCCGGCGCGGCTCCGGGCTCGGGCTCCGGC